ATTTCACCGGTAGCCTGAAAGCATCTAGATTTGAGTTGGCTGTTTGAGTCTCGTGGTGGATTCGTAACAAAGAAAGCTGTTGTCAAACAGAGGTGCTTGTGTTCAGAAGGCTTCTGTGATCCTGTCGTCAATTCCCGAGAACTCGAACGCATTTTTTGCCTATTCGCCGGCAGTTGCGTAGCTGATCGTTGGCGGTGATGGGTAGCCGTGGAGATGAGGTAGCTGTCAGTCTTACAGCTCCCGTTGATGCCAATCATCATGAGGTGAGAGTGATGCCGTAGCCAGTGAAACATCACACCATTTCTAGTCGATTCCTTCATTTCTCACCACACCCTCCTCAGGAAAAGACGATGGATTAGTCTCATCCTCCCTCTCTATCTCTCTGTCTTTCTGATATTTGAAAACAATCCCCAACCCAGATCGTGGACGTGGTTGATCTGCTGCCCGGCCCCATCTGGCACATCATCTTCTGCCACGTGCTGCTGGGCGAATCGCACGAGGGACGCAGGACCTCGGGTTTAGTTCGACTTTTCAATCGTCTAAGAATAAAAGTGCGGAATCGGGGTAGCTCCCCCGGCGCATCACAGCAGGGAGCAGGCAGCACCTCGGGTGCCACTGGGAGTGGACTTTTGAGTCGACTAAAAGATAAACTGCAGAATTGGGGTAACTCCTCGGAGCAGCAACGTGCGGAGGCATTGAGGACTTTCGGTTGCTGCTGGCCTTTGCTGCGCTGCGCCATGGTCTGCAAGAGGCTCCTCCACCATGTCGCATCCTTCCCCGTAAGTCATAACGCACAGCGCTAGTTCCCTCAATCCCTCCTTTTCCTTGATGTCCTCTATTATATCGCCTCTTCCCCGTAAGGCAGAACGCACAGCGCTAGTTCCCTCAATCCCTCCTTTTCCTTAATGTCCTCTATCATGTCGCCTCCTTCCGTAAGTCGTAATGCGCTTCTTCTACGGTACCCTTTTTCGGCCCACCGGCCCCTTTACCTCCTTGTCGCCTTCTTTTCTCCGGGAGTCACGATCGGCGCTGCTTACTTGATATCCGTGCTTCCAAGCTCAGTAGCTACCATCGTGAGTCACAATGGCATTCCACCGCACAACCTCCTCTGTTACAATCTGTTACACGCCTTGCCATGGTGGAATTCTTCTCTGGGTGCTGAGCTATCTATCGTCTCTCAACCATCGTCTCTCTCCATCTCTCTCTCCATCTCTCTCCATCTCTCTCCAACTCTCTCTCTCCATCTCTTTCTCCATCTCTCTCTCTCTCCATATCTCTGTCACACCGTGTGCGAGCAGGAGTTCTATCCCATGACGCTGCCAGTCAACCCCCAAGACCCCGCGCTCACACGTCCCTCGGGAACGCTCTTTGTCTTCCTCAGGCACGCGCCTCACACGCCCCTAAATGTCGTCCTCAACAGCTCTCAGGAAATTCACTGCCTCGGTCGTCTCTTGGGACCCTCTGCGCGCTTCCTCACAAACCTGTGCATTGGAATCAAGGAACTTCCGGGCGGAGTTCAGCCTATCATCAAGGAGAGGCACTTGATGAATCCGGCCTTTCTAGAGGAGTTTCAGCAGCTGCAGCGGCTGACTCTAGGCCGTGGGACGTGGCAATTAGGCACCCTGGATCCAGCAAAATTCCGGGGTCTGAGGAGGCTGGGCATCCACGATTTTGAGTGCGACGAAAATGCTCTGTCATTTCTTTCATCCGTCGCACCGCAGCTGCATGCACTCTTTCTCAAATCCTCCAGCCATTGCTCTGGCGTTATCACCCTCGATTTCAGGTTCTCCGCTGCTCAAACTATCGCGCTCCGCTTTGAGGAGCAAGCCCTCCACCTCCGCTTCACCCTCCCTGCCTCTTTGAAGACGTTCGGCGCCGTTGCGGCGAGTCTTCATGTAGATTGCGCATGCCCCAGTCCTCCCTCTCTCGACCACTTCTACCTCGTTGGCCAGTCGCAGCTTCTTGTTTCTTCGCTCCCATTGGCTGCCGCCAAATGTGTCTTCTTGGATGGACCAAACAATCAAGAAACCCTGGTTGCTCTGCGCAGGACGTTCACCGATGCTGATAGTTGGAGGATGCAAACCGATGCTCATCGTGTTTACTTTGCTACCGATACTTTGGAGATTAACTACGGAAGTTTATAGAGGCAACTAATAAAAGATCTTCCTTCTTTGGCATTGTTCAGCATTGTTTCATTGGGCCGGTACCCGCGTCACCCTGTCTGGTCCTCGGTAAAGTCTTGGCGATGGGATGGCCATAGGATGGCTATGGGATGGCGATGAGTGCTAGCAGTGGGGGTGGCAGTGGTGGGCATCGTTGGGGTTGGCAGGGGGCGGGTGTCATGATGGTGTTGTCTGCTGCCTGCTGCCTGCAACGTGCTGCTCCACCAGTTGAGCACAGTAAAGCACAGGAGTTAATGTATATCTGCTTGTATTGAGGCTTTGTGTTACTGTTTTCTGTTCGGCGTATTGAATGCTTATGGCATCCAGCGATGCGCAGAGAGCTTATCCACTCACTGATTGGTACGATACATTCCAGCAATTGAGTACGTCCCCGCCTGCGCTGGCGTTGCCTGCGCTGGCAATGCCTGGGGTGGCAATGCCTGGGGTGGCAATGCCTGCGCTGGCAATGTCTGGGGTGGCAATGCCTGGGGTGGCAATGTCTGCACGGTCGACATAGAGAACTCCGACTGGCTGTAGGCTGTCGTTCTGGCGTGAAGAAGCGAGAGGCGAGAGACAGGGAGACGGGAAGAAGGGGAGGAGGGGAAAAAAGGAGAGAAGAAGAGAAGAACATGGAAGAAGGGGAGAAGGGGAGAAGAAATGGGGGAAGCGTTCAAGAATGAACGGAAGGGAGTGACTGTGCTTCAGTGGGGATGTGGAAGGGAGTATAGGCGGGAGTGGGGACGAGAAGCAACGCAGCAAAGTGCTCTTGAAACATGGAGTGCCGCCCGTCGCCCGTCGCTTATCGCATAAAGCCCGTCGCTTATCGCCTGTCGCCCGTCGCTTATCGCCTAAAGCCCGTCGCTTATCTCCTGTCGCCCGTCGCCCGTCGCTTGTCACCTCTAGCCTCTCGCCTGTTGCCTACCTCGCCGTGGCCTCGTTCAGCCTCGCCGCGGTGAGTCAGCATGAGTTGAAGAGAAAGAGTACAACACCCGAAACTCTCGAGGAAGGAGCACAACACCTGTTGTCAGAATCCCAGCCACTAACCACTGGGATAAAAGGGCTTGTTTTGTGTAGCGGGTGAGTGCGCCCATAACCCCCCAGGCCAACGTGCCTGTAACCCTTCCCTATGATCAATCGGGGATCTCCAGTGGACCTCTGACACCCCCCCGCACTGGGATGCCCGAAATACACACACCGGGAATCGAACCCGAGACCTTCGCTCTGATACCATGTCAGAATCCCAGCCACTAACCATTGGGATAAAAGGGCTTGTTTTGTGTAGCGGGTGAGTGCGCCCATAACCCCCCAGGCCAACGTGCCTGTAACCCTTCCCTAGGATCAATCGGGGATCTCCAGTGGACCTCTGACACCTGTCGTAAGAGAGTACTCTTGCACTTGGAGCGAATCGAGGCGAGGCGAGGCGAGGCGAGGCAAGGCGAGGCTCACCTTGGCGGCGTTGTGCTGAGCCACGGCGAATCGCGCCATGGCGATTTGGTTCTCGTTGCTCAGCCAGTCGAAGTGGACCTCCCAATTAGGGTTTGAAGGGGAGCCGTCTGCTGCTGCCGAGAACATAGGCGGAAGACACGCACGACACGTGGATGCCACGTGGCAAAGGATAAGGAGGCATAGAGGGAGAGTCAGGTGCTGCCGCATGTCACGGCGGCGGCTCGTCATGATCGCCGTATCTTTTCGAGTGACTCTTTAGCAAGCAAGCTCTCAGTTCGTGTGACTAATAAGCGTCAGTTCAGGACCGCGGTGTTTGTTTAGGCGTCAGTTCTAGGATAGGCTTCTGCGATTGGCGTCTTGAATGGTCTTGAATGGTTACCACTAATATCGTCTGGTTCCGCAAGAATGTAAATTTCCACCCCTCTCCTGAACTATCAAAAGCGTGTGAGTCGAGCGGCGCATAGAAGACTGTCCGAACGCATCTCGCTGAAGCTATTGGCCTAACATGACGGTCCCGTTCCAGTTGCCCTGAGAGAGGCATGGTGGGAAGGCGACGGTTATCGCGGCGTGCCATTGCGGAATCAGCCGAGAACGAGAGAAGATGAAGCGGAAAGGAGATGAGGCGTGCCATTGCGAGAATTCGACTGTCATCGCGAAGTTCGTCGTATCGTCTCGGCGACTTGGTTGAACTTGAACGCGTGCAAAAACCTCAGAAGTCTCGGCAACTGCATGGGGTCAGATGGAGCGAAATGAGCGCTAGCGACTCAAAAGTACGTTACTCGATTCAAACAGTTCGCCTGGCTCTGTTACATCTCACGAAATTCGGAATCGCGAAAGATAGGCTTGAAAACGAACTCCAAGGCTGAATTGTGACTCACGTCACGTGTGGTTCACTCGAAGGCCCTGTTCTTCGCTCGACGTGATTTGTGGTTTCCTCAGTTGTACAGCAGCAGCACTCACAAAGGAGCTTTCGAACGGGAAACAGAAGAAACCTACGCAAGCGAAGCGCGAACTCAACATTACAGCAATTGCTGTGCTCGTCGATGGCGAAACGTCGTGGAACCGGCGGAATAAATTAGTGGTTGGAAGCTTCATGACGCCGAGCTTGTGCGTCCCGTTGCCGCATAAAGCTATGCGGCAACGGAACGCCGCCATAATTATGCAGCTAGCGTAACAAACCTCGCCTTCACTAGATAGTAAAAGTTTCGCTCGAAAGAAACCCAGCTGTATTTGTTGTGTTGTAGAGCCGTACTTTTTTCCAGACGGTACTTTCTAGAAACTTCCCGATTTCGAACGACAGCGTTCTTGCCTCACGTCGGTCGTTGGCGCTGATCATATCGCAAAAAAGCAGGCTCTGCTTTCGGCTATTTAGGGTGATCGTTGGCGCTGATCATGGCACGCCATGAAGATGCGGTGCTTGCGGGAGATGCGGTGTTTGCGGGAGATGCGGTGCTTGCAGGAGATGTGGTGCTTGCGGGAGATGATGCTCTCAATCTCACAGCACCCGTTGGTACCGAGAAGCATCACGAGGTGAGAGTGACTCGCCGCTCACAGCGAGGCATCACACCATTATCCCCAGCGGATAGAGATGATGCTCTCAGAAGTATTTCCCTCACTTCTTACCGCATCCTTCTCAGGACGAAAGAGAGAGCATCGCAAAATTATGCTAACCTAAACCTGACTCGAAAGTGACACATACCCCTTTCTGGCCTAAACGCATCCCGAAAGTCGCATTTAGGTCATCTCGCATTTGAAGTCAGTTTAGGGTTTCTCTCTCTTTTTCTTATCTTGAAAACAGGTAACATTTTCTTTTCCCCCCCACGCACCAGGGCGTGGACGTGGTTGATCTGCTGCCCGGCCCCATCTGGCACATCATCTTCCGCCACCTGCTGGACGAACGGGATCATGACTCCAAGTCCTCATTCGCGTCGCACTGCGATGACTCCTCCTCAGTTGCATCGCAGCAGGGAGCTGCCACTGGCAGAACGGAGGGAACTGGCAGCGCGGAGGGAACTGGCAGCACGGAGGGAACTGGCAGCACGGAGGGAACTGGCAGCACGGAGGGAACTGGCAGCACGGAGGGAACTGGCAGCACGGAGGGAACTGGCAGCACGGAGGGAACTGGCAGCACGGAGGGAACTGGCAGCATGGAATCCGGTGCCACAGCCACTCCACCTTCTGACATCGCAGCAGGGGACTCCCGGTGGCACGCAGAGGCCGTGGATTTCTTCGGCTCGTCGTGGCCTCTGCTGCGCTATGCCATGGCCAGCAAAAGGCTCCTACAGCATGTCGTCTCCTTCTCCGTGAGTCGTCACGTCATCACACGCTGCTTCCCTCATTCCATCATCCAATGATTCAAAGTTGACAACCTTCTCCGGTACATTTTATCTCAGGGGCATGGTCATTTCTGCTCTCTGGGGTGCTGAGCTGTACGGTCACGGCTAAGCTCCTCTGCCATCTCTGTACCCTTTACCATCTCTGTACCCATCTCTGTGCGCGCATGATTCCCTTCCACCCATGACGTTCCTATTCAACACTTGGGGAATTGGGTTGACTCAAAAGTTGTTCCTCTACCAACTCCCTTCCCATCTCTCTCTGTCCATCTCTCTGCCCATCTCTCTCTGCCCATCTCTCTCTGCATCTCTCTGCCCATCTCTCTCTGCCAATCTCTCTCTGCATCTGTCTCTCTCCACCAATCTCCTCATCTCTCTGTCATCTCTCTCTCCATGACACTCGAGCAGGAATTGGAGCCCAAGGCGCTGCCCTTCAACACCAAAGTCCCCCAGGTGTCAGGAATGCTCTCCTTCTTCCTCCGACACGCGCCTCATACGTCCCTTGATCTCCTTCTCAACACCTCCCAAGACCTGCTCTGCATCGACCGTCTCTTGCGGCCCTCTGCGCGCTCCCTCACAAGCCTAAGCATTGAACTCTACGACCCGAGTGGCCAGGTTTCTCAGGAGAGGCAGCTGCTGATGCGTCCGGCTTTTCTGGGGGAGTTTGAGCAGCTGCAGAAGCTGGAGTTAGGCTGTGGGATTTGGAAACTAGACAAGCTGAATCCAGCAAGGTTCCGGGCTTTAAGGAGTCTGTGCATCCAGGATTTCGAGTGCGACAGACGTGCTCTGTCCTTTCTCTCATCCGTCGCACCGCAGCTGCATGAACTTGATCTTTCCTCCTCGAGGCATGGCTGTGGCACCACTACGCTCGATCTTGAGCTCACCAGTGCTCGAGCTATCTCAGTCTGCTTTGAGAATCAATCGGTCAACCTCTGCTTCGCCGTCGCTCCCTCTTTGAAGGCCTTCTCTGCCGCTGCCAAGTTTCTCAACGTCCACTGCACATGTGACAGCCCCCTCTATCTCAACTTACTTTCTCTGACTGGCCGCGCACATCTCTCCGTTTCTTCTCTCCCAATATCTTCCGCCAAATTTGTCTACTGGAACGATTTAACCACCAAAGCTCACTTGACGCACCTGCTCAGCCATATAGCGCCGACAGTTGAGAGGCTTAGGATGAGGTATGACTGGCCTCTGGTGGGTGTGCATGAGGAGTGGAGCAGCCTGCTCGCCCTTACCATTGGCGCGGACCGTTACGACGAGGAGTTTTATTTCGATGATGAGAAACTGGCCGACACAGACGATTCGTATTTCTTGAGGTGCTTCGGTGGGGAAACAGGGAGCCCGTTCATCTCCGAAGCTGGAGTATATTTCCGTTGCCACTAAAAGGTGGCATCCCAACATTCTGGTTTCGCTGTGCAGGCAGTTCCCTTTGCTGGCAACTTACAGGATCAATAATGAAGAGGTCTGCTGGTGGCAGGAGGGAGAGGAAACAGTGCAATCAAGCCACATGGTGGCATGGGATGACTTTTGAGACGTCTCAAATGCAGGCAATTTCCTTCGCTGGCAACTTACATGACCACTGACCAGTCGGCCTGCTTGTAGCGGTAGGGAGAGGAGCGGTGCCACTGAGGTCCTGTGCTCCTGTACGCTTGGGGCAGCTGATGCTGCTGCTGCTGACTGAGACTTTGTCTCAGCTGCTGCCTGCTGCTTCGGCTGTTGTCGAGCGCAGGGCTGGAGCTCGACCGGCTAAGCACAGTAAAGCAGAGGGCTGATAGTAATTTATTGACGTTTTGTATTGAAAAGTACTGAAGTTTTTTTTTTATGCTATATTCTCAAGCTGATGTACCACCAAGGACATGGAAGGGAACCTAGATACCGGTATCACTGAGCTTGCAAGGAGACCATATGTACACCTCCGCATGTCAACGCGATGGCTCGTCATGTTCGCCGTGTCTACCGGAGTGGCTAGAGTCTATAAGCGATTTTCCTCACGTCGCGTGACGGTTAGGCGTCAGTACCGGAACGCGGTGTTGTTCTTGCGACAGGCTTCAGCGATTGGCGACTTGAATGGTTACCACTAGCGTCTGGTTCCGCAAGAAAGTATTTTCTCAACTCTCCTGAAGATCAAAAGTTTGTGAGTTGAGCGGCGCATGGGAGATTGTCTGAACGCGTCTCGTCGCAGTTCTTGGCCTATGGCGGTCCCATCCCGTTGCCCTGAGAGGCATGGCGGGAGGGCGACGGCGTTCGCGGTGCTTGCCATTGCGGAATCAGCTGAGAACAAAATGGCTGTGTGTTCTGCAGGCATCTCCCTTAGGAGGGAGGAAGGGGGGCGAAGGGAAATGACGATGGTTCAGAGGCAGTTTCCCCTTCGGCCCCCTCCCACCCCCCGCTACAACCGAAAGTTGGAAATTTCGGGTTTAGCGTGCGAAGCTGCAGAAGGTAAATGCCGAAAAAACAGCTACAATTTCCGTCGCACGTAATTTGGGTAGAGAGAACTGCGCGTAATCAGAAAAAAGGGTTGAATTTTAGCAAAGGGATACGACGTTGAAAAAAAAGGGTCCCCAAGCACTCCCTCCAGCAAAACGCAAACCTCGCCAACTCCAACCTGTTTTTTTTTACCTGTTAGGTTGACGCGTCCCTGTTTAGGCTACTCAAGGGTGTAGCTGTTAGCTTTCTAGGGTTCAAGTGTGGTGTTCCCCAACCTCGCGCCTCCCTTCCCCCTCCATCTCACATCCCGGGCAAGAGCAGTTTTCGAAAGGGGGGGAGAAGGGGGCAAAAATTGCCAGAGAAGGAAGCTGGGGTGGGGAAATAGGCAGCTTCCTACGCCCTCATATCCACGAGGGTAAATGGCTGTTCTGTTGCCATTTACCTTCGATTACGTTCGGAGGGTGAATGGAGGCTCGGCTCCATTTTCTGGCGGTGTTCTGGTGACTCTCACTAGAGGGGGAGGTGGAGGGGCGAATGTAAATGACGATGATTCCGCGGATGTTTCCAAGCCGGTTTTGACAAACTCCCGCTACAGCCGTAGACGGGAAATTTCAGGCGCCAGGGGGGGAAGGATCCGACGGTAAATGACGAACATGTGGGGACATTTTCCTGGTCTAGAAACAGGGGTAGTTCATTTCGTGCTAACAAGCAAGACAGGGTACAAACAAAACCAGGGTTACTTCTTGTCGGAAAACAGAAGTCACCTTCAACAATCCAACCTCTAGGGTACAAACTGACTAGGGTTTGCTCTAGGAAGGGGACGTGGTTTTTTTCTTCCGAGTCCTGTGCGTGTGGGAGGGAGAATCCCTGAAGCAGTTGTTAGTTTCACGGGTGGAATGTCGGTTTCCCCTCCCCAGCACCTCCCTCACATGCCTGTCCCACATCCCCGTGAGGAGTGGTTGGCGGAATGGGGGGCGAAGGAGGCAAAATTTGCCCGATGAGGAAGGTGGGGAGGGTAAATGGGAACCTTCCAAAGGGTGCACATCCCTGAGGGTAAATGAGCGTTCTATTGCCATTTACCTTCGGTTTGGTTCGGAGGGCAAATAGGAGGCTCGGCACGGTTTCCCGGGCTGACCGTCGTGTCGAACCAAAAAACGCAGAGGGGAGAAGATTCCTATTTCCCCTCGCTCCCCCCTCGCCAGTGCCTAGAGAACACCACCTCTGGGCTGACCGGGCGTTTGATCCAAAAAACGCAGTTGGGGGAAGGTTCCTATTTACCGCCTCCCCCCCCTCTGTCGTGCCTGCAGAACACAGCCAAAGAGACGAGGGAGGGAGAGAACGGATTTGATAAGGACGAACGCCAGCAGCGCATGTGACGGTGTGGGTGTGGTGTGGTCTGCTACTTTCTACTTTTCGCGAAGTCAACGAACTAGGGAGGAAAGGTGAGGGAGACTCCTGGCGAATTTTGTCACTCCCTCTCGTGTGAGTTACTCTGTTTCGCTACATGTCGCGCACATACGCTGGGAATGGGAGGAACTGGGGATTCTGACATTGACACGCGGAAACTGGCCTGTGACGTTGAAGTTGAAACCTGGCTTCTACTGGGGGAGAATCTCCAATTTCCCTAGCAGGGCACAAGATGCGCTGGTTACCATTTAGCCAGGTGTGGATTCTGGGCGTCGGTGGGCTCGATGATTGGTTTCCATGCCCAAACTGTTGGGAAATTACAGCCTTCTTATTGGCTTGCTAACAATGAACGAGATTTTCCCAATCCCTGCTTACGTGTCATGGGAGAACAGAACAGTTCAGAACCGCTCGATCAAGTCTTGCTTGGGCACAAGCATTCCATCTGTAGCAAACTTCCCTGTCAAATTCTACTGCGTGTTTGTGAAGCGAGGCCAGCCAGCCAGCCTTCGGGAACTTCAGTTTCCGCCTTTCCTTTTCCTTGCTTGAGAAGCGAAGTGACTGGTTTTCGAAACGGGTGGTATGGATGCATTTCAACTGGCTGAAAGATTACATCTCGGGCGATCGGCGATGTGCTGCAGGCGGTCCTTAGTGCCTGTCCTCGCTGGCGCAGCGAGTGATAGAGCGCAGGTCACAGAGGTGTCCGGATGGGGAAGGGAGTGCTTCATGATTGCGTGACAGGAGGGGAGTTATCCGAGCAACGTGTAGGATCAGCAGATTTCGTTACAAATCCACCACAACACAGTTCACCGCCACTAACCTACCGCTGCTAGCCTGAAAGCAGCTAGATTTGAGTTGGGGCTTGCTTGAGTCTCTTGGTGGATTCCTAACAAAGAGAGCTATTTCTTTTTCAAAGCTGTTTCAAACAGAGCTATTTCTTGCTCAAAGCTGTTTCAAACAGAGCTTCCTGCTCCGAAGGCTTCCGTGAATCTCCTGTCGTGATATTCCGAAAACCTCATGTATTCGAACGCAGTTTTTGCCTATTCGCCGGCGGTTGCGTAGCTGATCGTTGGCGGTGATGGCTAGCCATGGAGATGAGGTAGCTCTCAGTCTTACAGCACCCGCTGATGCCGAGAATCATCATGAGGTGAGAGTGCTGCCGCAGCCAGTGAAACATCACAACATTTTTAGCCGATTCCCTCGATTCTCACCACATCCTCCTCCTTAGGAAAAGACAATGGATTTGTAGTATCCTCGCTCTCTAACTCTCCCTCTTTCTGTTAATTTAATATATTCCCCACCCAGGTCGTGGACGTGGTTGATCTGCTGCCCGGCCCCATCTGGCACATCATCTTCTGCCACGTGCTGCTGGGTAGCTCCTCCGGCGCATCACAAGAGGGAGGAGCAGGCAGCGCCTCCGGCGCATCACAGGAGGGAGCAGGCAGCGCCTCCAGCGCATCACTTCTTAGTCGACTCAAAAAGAAGCTGCAGAGTCTGGGTAACTCCTCGGGCGCATCACAGGAGGGATCAGGCAGCACCTCACCGGGTGCCACTGGAAGTGGACTTCTGAGTCGACTGAAAAAGAAACTGCAGAATTTGGGTAATTCCTCGGGCGCATCGCAGCAGGGAGGAGCAGGAGACGCGTCCATCACGGAGGAGCAGCACGCGGAGGCATTGCGGACCTTCGGCTCCACCTGGCCTCTGCTGCGCTGAGCCATGGTCTGCAAGAGGCTCCTCCACCATGTCGCCTCCTTCCCTGTGAGTCTCTAGTTGCTCCCTCTTCTCCCGATGTTGAGCTATGAAGCGTGTTGAGCTATGAAGCGTGTTGAGCTAGGAAGCGGTCACGGTCACGGCTAAGCCTGCTCAACCATCTTCATGTCCGTAGCTGCGTGTGAGGAAGATTTCGAGCCAATGACGCTGCAAAGCAACACTCAGGCGACTTCTAACTTGACTCACAAAGTCGCTCCTCTACTCTTACCTTCTCATCGCTTTCAGTGTGTCTGTCCGTCTCTCTGTCACGCCGTGTGCTTGCAGGAGTTGGAGCCCATGACGCTGACTATAAACCCCCAAGACCCCGTGCTCACACGTCTCTCAGGAACGCTCTCTGTCTTCCTCAGGCACGCGCCTCACACGCCCCTCAATGTCGTTCTCAACAGCCCCGAGGACCTGAACTGCCTCGGCCGTCTCTTGGGACCCTCTGCGCGCTCCCTCACAACCGTGAGCTTTGGGCTCAAGGAACCTTACGACATCTTCAGGCTCCTTGAGAGCGAGCGGCTGATGCATTCAGCATTTCTGGGGGGGTTTGAGCAGCTGCAGAAGATGGAGCTAGGCCACGGGACTTGGCAATTAGGCAGACTGAATCTTTAATGTTCCAAGCCTTACGGAGTCTGAGCATCCACGATTTCGAGCGCGGCAGAAATGTTCTGCCCTTCCTTTCATCCATCGCACCGCAGCTGCATGAATTGGCTCTCGCCTCCTCTAGCCACGGCTCTGGCACCACCACGCTCGATTTCAAGTTCACCGCTGCTCGAGCTACCGTATAACCCCGGATA